AATTAATTAACTTAACTTACGTTAACTTAATTAATTAATAAACTAAAGTAAGGTAAGTAAGTAAGTAAGTACTACTACCTACCTACCTACTACGTAAGTAAGTAAGTAACGTAACTAACGTACGTACTCTCTCTCTCTCTCTCTCTCTCTCTCTCTCTCTCTCTCTCTCTCTCAATCTCATTTTTCACATCCACAAAGTTGTAGAATCGCCTGATTCTCTTAAGGCTCATCACCAAGTTAACTCAAATTGTGCTCTGAACATTATCTGTGTGCTCCATTTATATCCTGACCAACTTTCACGCATATCCTTGGTCCTCAAATACACAGTTCCTGGTTTATGCTATCAGGAATGTTTTCATAAACCCCTAAGAACGATATAAGTGAGATAGGCTCCATACATTTAGATTTAGAACAATCTTCAATAGCCTATATCCAACCCTAGCTTTGAAGTTGCAAACACTGTAATTAAGGGTATAGATCATTTAATCGGAGTACTAAATTAGTTATTGGAAGCAAGAGCTAGAGTAGGAGCATGGGATCGTTGCTTGCTAGGAGTTTCCTAGTTAGGGAACCCCCATACAACAATATATAAAAATGGAGAAATACTAAAAAAGAAAGACTAAGCATATTTTTCAAACAATATTTAGATGCAAAATTAAAAATTAAAAATATATTTATTATATATACAAAAATTTATTCAAATAAAATTTGTGAATAATAACTCATTCTCATATATAAGTACCTAAACAGTAATATACAAAAGGGTTTGTTTACAAAGAGACCATTTATCTTTTGTACATGGAGGTCACAATCATTCTCACTCATTAAATGTCAAATTGGATGGCTTTGGTGAGTTACGAAGTCCAAGAATATTTTTTTGTAATTTTGTGTCTATTCAACGACACTCTTACAACCACCCATTTTGAAATTTAAGGAATAAAAATGATTGTGACCTCTAGGAACAAAAGTTAAATGGTCTCTTTGTAGATGATTCCTATTCAAAAATATGTATTTGATCTTTTTTAAAAGAAGTCAGTGTATATGTAAAATATAAATAAATTATAGAACACAAAACAAAAAATGTTGCAGCCCACAAATCGGGTGCTCTATACACAGATTCAAAGAGAAGGAACTACAGAAACCTACATTGTGAAAAAGGATGGGTATGACTATGACAAGAAAAGAAGGGGAAGACAGTGTGGTATCCAAAGTGAGATGCGGTGACCAAAATGCAGGTGAAGTCCTCAATTGCCGCAGTGGGCTGTTGATGACACTACCCAAGCCCAGTGGCCCCCCAGCCACCCCTTCTTTTGCTAGTGAATTGGCCACTTGATTGGCCTCCCACAAAATGTGGGTGAAGACCACTTGGAGATTGGCAACATCAGAAGAATATGTGGTCAAATAGGTGTTACAGTCTCCAGGGGCACGGTTGACACCCTAAGGCCCAAATGATACCATTTTTTCAATCCCTGTTCACTACCAAAGTGGAAAAGGCCCATTACTGCCATTTAGAGTCCTTAATGCCTGTGCAGCAGGTAAATATGGAGGGAGTGTTACCAAGATCGTCACTATAAATCTCTATGAATCCTGCTCATCCCGGATTTCAGAGGGAAAATACATCCACATTTATTTGAATGCATCAAGGCTTTGGCAAGCGACAGAGGTGAGATCTCGTGATGGGCGCAGGTTTGTGAGATATTGTCACCTTCCAGTTTGTGGTGAAATCAGCCAATGAGGCAGTTCAAAGTCCTTTGAAGTTTCTTTCCCAGATTATGATGGCTACCTTGATTTGGTCTTCAACGGCTTGGAAGGCAGTTTCCTTCCCATTGAAAGCCTAGCTATGCCTTTCATGCCACAGTCAATAGAGCAGCTGAGAAGAGCTATTGAATGGATTGAGGTATGGCCCAACACCATTTGAAGATTTGAAGCAAGGCAGCCCACAAGTGATCGGCGAGCACGTAGAGTAAGAAGAGAGGGTTGTTGGTCTCCTCCGCTTCCATACAAAGTAAGAAATGGTTGGCAACTTCGTATCCTCTTCTTTTTAGCAGGTCGACCCCGAGGGCTCCTTTGGACAATACCATCCAATTAAATGCTTGGACAATGAGTAGGATGGGGTAATCCATGCTTCATACATAAATGAAGGTACTTGGCATGGGAACTACCAAGGACTGGGAAAAGGAGGATACCGAAAAAATGCCAAAGTTTGTTGGGGACCATAGTGTGAATTGAAGTAACTCTAGGATATTATGTGTATCCTCGTCATCGAGAGCCCACATGAAGCAAGGGTTCCACACAATGATAGCCCCTTGGACCTCAAAGGTCTCTGTGACCCAGGCATTTGTATTGGTTGCTATTCATGTTAGTTTTGGCCACTACTCTGCCAAGCTTCTTTCACCCACCAATACCTCTTTCCAAAATCTCACCATATATCCCACCCTTACTCTGAAACGAATGTTTTGCATGAAGTTGGAGACGTTTAGGGAAATAATCTTCTAAAATCCCAGGCCCAACCCTTGGGAACTGTCCCAAGGGAACCTATAGTGAATAACAGCATCCCATAGATGGTCTGGATGTGTTGCGAAGCAACACCACCATCTGTCAAGCAAAGCTAAGTTAAACTGTTGGACCTTTTCATTTTTGGTTCTGAAATTTTTCTTCTTCTTTTTTTAACAATATATTCTTTCTGGGCACCAAATCCACCACAACTTAAATTGTTGGACCTTTTCATTTTTAGTTCTGAAGTTTTTCTTCCTTTTTGTAATTTTTTTTTAAGAGTTAATATAGGGAATTTTAAGACTTATAATGAAGTCAGCAATAAGTGCAGACCAAACAAAGACATACTGCAAGCAGGGAACCCGCATATCGAATTAAGATCGTAGCCAGAAATGGTGAAGCAAAAAGAGAAAAAAGAGGAAGAAGATATAAAGAGAAGAGGGTAAAGCAACAACAAAAAGGACACAGCTTTGCATAAGGATGTGCTGTTAATCTTAGTTGGCTTCCAATAGGGCATTGTGAACTGTGATCCTCCAAGGATCTCCTAGATCCCTAATGTCCTCAACTAACAGTAAATAACATGTGAACAGCAACCCTTTAATTGAAACAAATAAACACAAAGCATTTGTGGCAACCAAAATTACAGAGCAAAACTTTCATTTGCATAACACTAGTGAAAAATAAGAGAACTCCCAGTTACCAAATGACTAGGCAGTTCCGAAATTGTTCAAGGGCATAATCAGTCAACCAAACATTGATTAAGAACAATTATTGCCTGGTCATATTCCCTAGCCATGCTTTTATCAAATGGACAAGTCAGATTTTCACAATAGTTAATAACAACTCATTGCATTCTCACTGCCTTCTGTAGCCAACCCCAAAAAGTTGGGAAAAGGCTCCAATGATAATTATGATGATGCTTCTCACTGCTAATTTCTTCACCACAAAAAATGAAAAATTGGATAAAATAATCACAGAAATAGAACTCTAATTAGTAACAAAGTTGACTTCTAGGTTAAGGATATTAGAAGGATGAGATCGGTCAAAAAAAAAAAAGAATTACAGAGAAGGCTTGAAAACAAACAAAATGAGGTAATGGTATCTCTTCATAGAGCATTTGCAAGTTGTAACTTAGTATGACCAAACAAAATATAATGTATATCAATGATGCACATATTTACCTGCTTCAATGGCACAAAATTGATCTCTGTAGGTGGCAAAGCCTGGAAAAGAATTATGTAAGGTCAATTGCAATTTATGTTAAATGCTGTAGGCATCCCACATACAAAGGATCCAAGAAATGACTTATAAAAAACAACAAAGGGGTATACATTACAAGAAGTTATTAAGACCATTCAAAATTGAAGTAAGAGCGATGACTCATTACCGACTTCACAAATCCATCAAAATAAATTGACTAAAAAGAGAACGCACAATAATCTTTATCCACTAGTGAGCATACTTTTTCTGTAGCCATTAAAGAAGAAAGATGCAAAACCAATGCAGCTCTTGAAGGAGTAAAAATCTTGGTCGGGAGCTTCGAAGGACCAGTTAAAATTGAAGAAGATTTGTTAAATTTGTTAAACTTATTAAAAAGTGTCTCACAAGTACCTTGCAAACTAGACAATTTTCACAAAATATCTAGAGTCTATTGGGAAAAATTTGTATTATTAATTTCATATGCTCCAAGAGATGCCAATGAAGTCGAGGTGGTGTCTTTGGGAGTGCAGGCCACATTAGGCTTTCTTTATAATTCATACTTTAATGTTGTTTACATATGAAAAAAAAAAGAACATATATATATATATGGAAGCAAAATTCATGCTTTATGAGATTTAGAATAAATAAGAGTTCACCTCTTCATCTAATTGAAAAAGAGAGCCTATGCCTCTCCATTTTAACTTTATTTGGTGGAAACCGTGGAATGCAAGTCGAACGTCCTCTCAGGATACATGGATGGTATATAACTCAAAATTTGGATGCATATTTTCTGTTTTTCTACATGAGATGGTTCTTATGTTCATAGAGAATCCAATTCAGAGCTCATAGTTTAATGCTTTTATTGGGAGTAATAAAATTATAAAACTCACCAATAAAAAATTTCCGCAACATTGTTTGTTCTGTGCCTTTTCACAGTCCCATTGAAGATTATAAGATCCTAAATACCTAACTACCTAGCATCTCGCACTTATGGTTATGGTCATCAGTGACAAAGAGCCAACTTTTTACTAGTATATCTTCCTAATCACATGTGAATCATGCCACATATATCAAATCAGATCCTAGCATATGATGTGAAACCATTGTTACCAGGAACAGGAGAGTGGGGAGCTCTAGGATGGAAGCGAGAATGCCGGAGCAAAGCAGACTCAAAGATCTGTAGCTTACGGAACCACATCCGTAGTTGAGGGACCGAGTCTCCTAACATTAAGGAAGCGCGTTCCACGACTGCAGAGGAGCTAACACTAAACTAAATGGAATCGTGGTTTGTTGAGCTCTCCCAAAGACCACTTATCCAAGGTATTCTAGTTCAGGAGCAATTTCAATTCAACTGTTATTTAAGCAAGTTTCACTCAAAAAAATTACTCATGTGGGTCCATCATAAAAATTTCACACCTACCTACATCAGTCTGCCTACGTAGACACCCGACCTTATTTTTGGCACCAATCAGTTGGATTGGACGACTTGCCCCCTCAACTATTAATTTATGATGATATTTAAGAATGTTGCAATAGATTGTTTTCAAAAGGAAATGTTGTGATAGATAAGCTGTCCTTTGAAAAACAAAACAAAGGAAAGACATTGCCATATAATTCTCAATAGCTCTCTACTGTTAAATATTGCTGGGCTAAAGGACATATAGACAAGAAAGACATCACATTTCAAAGCATATATGTTATTCCATCACCCATAAGGCAACCCCATGAGTGGCTCAATCTGGTGACAAACACTCGAAAGGTCAACAGGACCCAATGAACTAAGCCCAAGGAAATTAATCCTACTGATCCCAACCTCATTCCTTGAATAGAACGGCAACTCGACTATATCTTCTATCTCCTTCCATCTTCTTCCTTCTCTTTCCCATCCCTCTCTTGTTGCATTTCTTTAAAACTAGTCGCAAGTCATGATTCACAAGACGTATAAAATTGTAACATATTCAAATATATAGTAGAGATGTAATTTTTCCTGATCTTGCTCTTTTAGGGCGAGCTAGGAAAGACTATTTTTCTTTAGTAAGTATATTTTCTAGTTACTTTGAATATAAACTTGAGGCTTAACAACTTTTCATTAACTTTAGTAGCCAACTGCTGTGTGTTCACATAGGGGGCTCACAGTTGAGAAGATTGAAGTTAAGCATACATTTCACTAAACTGTTCTATGACAAATTTATTAGAAAAACACTTTTATGCATGGTTAGTGAACGGGGCAAAAACAATTGGAATCTTATTCATATTAATAAAATATAATTAGTGGTAAAAATAGATGACCATAAAGAACCGAACAATTGTTTCATGCAGGCTGGACTGCATTTCTACAATACGCGATCTAGAGGTATAAAGCATCCATCTTAAAGATAGATGCAAATATGTGGTCCATCTAAAAACAATTGTAACTAACGGTATATATACTTTCTTAATATAATTATCATTTCTAGTTTTCAATTATTATTATTATTTTTCATATTGATGATCTCCATGTTAAAGATTATATATACTCTAAAAATTAGGAACAAAGTATATTTAAAAAATATAGGATTGCCAAGCCCATATTTTTACAATATGCAGGCTAGTCGCGTATGCTAACCACGTCCTAAAGAACCAAAGGAAGCTTTATTTGTTGGGCTTGTCAATTAGACCCAAGTCAAGCCCATGCTTCTCCATGCAAGGCCCAACTCCCCAACAAAGCATAGTGTCAAATGCATAATTGGATCGAGAACCCAATGAACTCTCTCTCACTTTTATATTATCATCATCATTATTATTTAAGATTTATCCCAAATATTAAGGATCAACTATACGAATTATGTTCAACTATCCGCTCTATCAAGGGCCATGCCTTCAGTCAGACCACAAATCATCATATTACTTCTCAAAATTTCTATCTATATCGTTTTGGGTCTTCTCCTAATCCTTTTAAAGCCCTTCCAATTGAGCCAAATCAACCGGTGCCCTCTATTACATACATATAAGGATTAATATTATAATGGGTTGTGCTGGGTGTATTTATCAAAAGTCATTGTTTGTTCCTAAAAAAGTTCTTTATAGGTAGCCTAATTATTAAGTAAGAGTACATAAATATTTTTTGCCAAAGTAGATGGTAGTTTAAAAACCAATGTCCTAGAACTTTATTAGTACAAGTACCTTCATTCTTTAGTAACAATTTTAACGACATGCTTTTGATATAACAAAGATACCCCTTGTGTTTTTAATACTAAGTATATATGGAAAAGCATACGAAGAGACCATTTAATTTTTAAAAAAAATTATATAGGTGGATGTATAATGATAGTCCATCGAAAATATATATATATATATCAATGGCCTAAATATTTTCTTCAAAATTGTCGGTTTTCGTTTTCAAAATTAACGTCTTTTTTTTTTTTGCTTATTAATAATTTTCATGTAGAGATTATATAAACTTGAAAAATAAAATCCAAAATCTATCTCAAATATAGATCATGAAACAAGGCCACATATCTACATGCAATGAGACCATTTACCTTTGGTACATGGTGGTCATAATTAATCTTGACCATTGGATGTGAAATTGGATGGCTACATTTATTCTATTGATCAAGCTCAAACTTTAAAACAAATTTTCTCAAATTTTGTGACACACCCAAGCTATCAGATTTGTAGGTCACAAAAAACCTAAAGGTCCACACTCAACTGTATATGAACAAGAAAAAAGGCTAGTGAAACTCAATCCCAAAGCAGAAGTACTTGATTCCCACAAGTGGAATCATGGTTCCAGTTACTCATGGAACTATGATTTTGAGCATAAGGATCTGGATCCCATTAACCTAGGATTTAGTTCCTCCATTTCCAGGATCGAGATCCCTAAATCAATGGGTTTGCCCGGAATCGAGATCCTGGGCCTCAGAACATGGGATCAACATTTGAGCTTCTGGAATGGGAGCGACACCCTCCTTATAAGGTCCCTGTAACCATGTATGAAACAGTAATAGTCTTCTTTACTACTACATGGACCACAGTATCAAACTCAAGACAAATCTGGTTTGAAGCATTGCTTTGATACAAAAAAATTTAGACGCACTCTTGACAATGATTAACAACAACAGCCACAAAATAGATTCACCTGCATGCAAATGTATGTGTGTGTTATAATGTAATTTTTCAACACTTCATCAACCCAAAGAAAACAAGGCAAAGGAAGCATTACTCAAGAATAAACTTGGAAACTATTTAATAATTTTCAAGAGTACAAAATGACTACAAACATAATCAGTGTCTACATACTGGTAAGGCACAACAATTTCTCATACATCTACTAAGACAAGATCCTTGGGATCAGCAAACTGGGGGGAAGCCACCAAAGAAAAGAAATGTGATGCCTTCAGCAACAAATTGCAAATAATCAATTGATTACCTCATATGTGAAAGGACCTTGTAGAGTATCCAAATCATGGGTCCCTATAGCAACCAGAGTTCTCCTCCTGGTACAAAGAGAGGTATTTCAACTCCAAAAGCTTGGCATAAAGAAAGTTTGCAAGGAATCATGAAAAGTTGTGTCAGTTCTATGGCTCCAAAAACATATTTTTTTTGAAAAGGTTAACATTGTATTACTTGGTATGAAGTGTACAAGATGGAAGAGGCCAAATTTACCCCCTAAGGGGTGGACTGGAAAAATACAGACAGCGTATCATATACAAAAAGGGCTTATGCCCGATGTAAATGTTTTACATGAAGCTTTCAAAATATACAAAAAATGAGGAGGCCTAGAAAAGCCAGGTGATGAGTTATGGATGCGAGCTGAGCCAGAGGTCTTGTGCAAAAAAGGGGACGACCCCGGCTTGATCTTGTAAATGCATATTAGCTCCCTCTTTCGCCAAGCGATCCGCGAAGTCATTGGACGTCCTCCATGTATGCTGCCAAGAGACGTCCATATCACTGCAAAGGTGATCAATTTCATCAAAAGTATTGGTTAGGTACCATGGCCGAAGGGAAGCCCTACTAGCCCATGAGAGAACATTTTTTTAATCTCCTTCTATGATGAGGTGTAATCCCCAAGAGCGATTAAACGTTTTCAGGCCTTGAAGGAGGGCCAAGGCTTCAACAATTTCTACTTCCAAGAAGCCTAGGTGCTCTGAGAAGGTAAGAAAAACATTTCCTTGGTGGTCTCTAAAAACCCCCCCAGCCCCCGCCAGCCTAGGGTCCCCTAAGGAGCAACCATCAAAATTTAGCTAGATGGTTCCTTCTGGGGGCGGTTGCTAAAAGCTGGATCTTTGTGGTTGTCGTGGGCAGTGGAAGAGAATATTTTTCCATTGGGGGAGGAACTGGGTCCTTTGTATACCCGAGAAGGCCTTGTGGTTTGAGGCCCAGAAGGTTACCATGGAGATTGCCTTGTACAGGAGAGTTGAAGCTTGTAATTTTGAACCTCGGAAGATTCGGTTGTTTCTTTCCACCCAAATGGTCCACAAGGCTGCCGCTAAGGTAGCTTTCCAAAGGGCTCTGCCAGCCTTTGGCCATGGAGTATGAAGCTCATAGGAGATGAGCGCTTTTACCGTTGGTATAGTGACTCATTCGATGGCAAAGAGTTGCAAAATTTTCCCCCAAAGTTCAAATGAGAAGTCACAGTGTAAGAAAAGGTGGGGGCTTGACTCCTCATCATTTTGGCATAAAGCACATCTGTTGGGGAAAGGAATCCCTCTCTTTTGGAGGTGGTCAGTAGTGAGAGTTTTGTGGGAGCAGGCTAGCCAGTTGAATGTTTGGACCTTAGGTGGAGCAAAAGTAGACCACACTTTCGAAGCGACTGAGGTGGGGTTGGCCGGAAAGATGGGAGGCTGTGAAAGGATTTTATAAAAGGAGGCCACCGAGAACTCACCCTAAGGGATGGGTGTCCAGACCAAAACGTCTCTCCCTTGGTTTGGAATAAATTGAGAGTGAAGGCCTGTTAACAACACTTGAAAGTGGTCAAACTCCTCTTCGGTTATGTTTCTCCGAAAGGAAGGGTTCCAGGCTCTTCGTTCTCCTATAAGAACCAATTCCTCGGCCACTGTTGCTTCTTGATTGGTAGCCAGCGAGTAGAGAGCTGGGAAAGCCTCCCACAGTGGTGAAGAACCTAGCCATAGATCTGACCAGAATCTCAAACGGGAACACTCTCTCGAATGATATCTAATTTGTTTTTTGAAGTGAGGCAAGGCCGAAGAGAAGGATTTCCATGCTCTTGAGGCATTATGTCTGTGGGACTTCTATGGCACCCATGGTCCTTCAGGTATCCCATACTTGTTTCTTAAGACCTGAGCCCAAAGGGAATCAGGCTGGGTTGCAAGTCGCCACCACCACTAGCCTAAAAGAGCAAGATTATGCTTTCTGAGAACCCTGATACCTAGGCCACCCTGGTTTTTTGGAATGCAATTGTTGTCCCAAGCCACTAGATGGAATTTAGTCTTCTGAGCCTGCCCTGACCATAGGAAGTTACGCATGAGCTGGTCCAAGCGATTAGCCACTTGAGCAGGCATATGGAAGAGAGACATTAGGTAGACTGGAGAGTTAGATAAGGTAGCTTTAATCAGGGTCGACCTGCCTGCCATAGAGAGGAGGCTACCTTTCCATCCCGCCAAGCATATGTCCACCCTATCAATGACAAGGGACCATTGACCTTTTTTAGGTTTGCCTAGTCCGAGAGGGAGACCTAGATAGGTTGTAGGGAGGTCCTCCACTTTACATTCCCAGTTGGGAATGAGCCCTCTAATCTCAACATTTGAAATTGCTACCCCCATCATTTTTTATTTTTCCACGTTGACTTTGAAGCCAGTTGCTACCTGGAAGCATTTGAGGAAAAGGTTCAGGATATCTACTTCCCTAAGGGAGGCGTCTAAGAACACCAGAGTGTCATTCGCATATTGCAAATGGGACACTGTTGGACCTTTATGGCTCCAAAAACATATTCACATCTCATAACCAAGAAAATGGGAATATGTTTATATTACAATTGCCAGGATGGGACTAGAAAGAACTTGTACAATATGCCTAGGAAAGGAGATGCTAGAAAAAGAAGCAAGTCATGAAAAAGGAAATATCTAGAAAAATTACAAGAAATTCCAAGATGCAACGCTAAGAAAGCACTAGAGAAATGCATCACCCCAAAAGTTGCATGTAGTCAACAAAAGTGTACTAGAAAGTAGAAACAGTTGGGAAACAATCAGAGGAAATGCAGCTAAATGAACAATTAATCAATAGTAGGAGATCAGCAGGAAGTGTATGAAATGCGTCTTCCATATAGATCATAAATATTTACAGGTCAAGTTGGCCTTCTTTTATGTTTTTGACAGTAAAGATTCATTTGAATCAAAAATCCAAACAAGAACAAAATAAGTATCGTATAATCCACAAACGAGGTTCTACAAAAAATGAAATGGAAAGAATTAGCCTTTAAAAAAAAATTAGTTAACTTTGTGAATCTAACTACCTGCAAATATTTTGATGGAGCCTATCTTGGAGATCAATGAAGCTATTATATCTAGCTTCATCGAAAGTGATCCCTCTTAGAACAGCACAAACAATGTAGGGGCGAATGCGTGCAGTCTGCATTGAATAAACAAATGAAAGAACAAATAAAAAATCTTTTTGCAAATTCATAATACAAATTAGAAATGCTTCCTTGAAGACAACCTCATGTAGCATACCTCAGGCCGTATGTAAATTTTATGCATGGAACTAACTGGAACGTCAGCCAAAGTATATGTTGGTGTCTGTTGACTTCCAACAAAAATCCGAAGGGCTTGTGCAAGCCCTTCAAGGCACAGCAGGTCATATCTGTTTATTAACACGAAAAATATGAAATATTTTTTCCTTTCTTTTTTTGGATTGATAAGAAGGAAAAATATTATTCACCACCCGACCAAAAAGAAAAAAAGATCAAAATCATTACAAATACATCAAAGCACAACATTACAACCATATAGGAGAGTACCCAAATTGTATTGCAAGTGGCAGGTCAAAGGCACTATAGCAGTTATCTAAAAGTGCGCAGCATAGCAAGCAAGCTATACAATCCTAGTCTTTTAGATAGTAAAAAAATGAAGAAACTCAAAAGTAAGCTTCAAGTGTTCAGTTTTTCCATTTTCTTTTTTTTTGGATGGTACGACACTTGAAACAAATGAAACATGATGCGTCCCCATTCAATCTAACGTTTATAACACTACCACTGATAATGCCTTGAAGAAGTTCCAAGCATTACCCATGTATCAGAAGCTTCTTCCCAAAAATTCTTATAAACAGTCCATAAGTGGATTTAATATATGAATCCTTAAGCAAAACATAGCTTAAAAAGTACAAAAAACTGCACAGGCTAAATGGGCAGCACTCTCCATATGTGACCATTAATGTTTGTGAGTACTTATGGCATCTCCATCCCGCAAAATTACTCCAAGTCTCCAATGACACCCACCTAAAACCCAACTATGCAACCTATCATATCCACTCCACCTCATAAATATAGAACTTCATCTCCATGTAATTAGCTACTATCGAAACATTCAATTTTTTGTTGAACATTTCTAGAGGCAAATTTCAATAAACAAATGCATTTTTAGAAAAATGTGTTTGTCAATACTGTAAAGCTTTGTTAAGCAAATGCAATTTATCTAGAAAGAAAACCAAAACACTAGGCTCAACAAACACACACCACAAATTTACCTTGAAGAAAAGAAAGAAAAAGACTAGGTAAGTCGTCCATATAGTCTGCCATGACATATTCTAATAGACTAAAGATTCTTAAAAAACAGGAATATATATTTTTACATCTCTTCTAGAGGTGGTAATGGGCTGGGTGGCCTGGCCCTCAAACTCTAGAGCCTGGGCCCCATAATGTGGCCCGAGGGCCTAGCAGGGGGCACGGCTAGCCCTGTTTGGCCTGGCCTAGTCCAAGCCTATTTTTTTAGTTTTTTCCTTTAGTTTTTTTATGTGATTTTATTTCGCCTGGCCCAGCCCCACCCGCCCGCACAGGGCCAGGGCCCTGGCCTAGGCCAGCCCCATGGACACTAGGGCCAGGGCTGGCCCGGCCTTTTGCCAGCCCTAATCTCTTCCAACAGCAAGACCCACACAGCTAACCATATAAAATATTTACGCAACCTTAGCTTCAATTCTCTAGAGCACTAGATCCCACAAATTATCACTACAAATTCCAAAAAATGACAAAAGACTAGTAATAATAAGAAGGACGCCACTCTCATAACTGTGACCATGAACAACTACAAGGCCCTGATTTTTTAATGTTCATAGACCATTAATGTTCACTTATCCCACCAAAGGAAGGAAAATAATAATAACTTCTCTGCAAAGAAAAATGAGCGGGTTATTAACAGAGTTGAGATTTCTCTTCTCATTCTTTCCATGATGGTTCAAATTGATAACAAATATTTGCAAAACAGGATGTATCCACAGATTCCAGCATAAAATCAACCTATAGACAGTCGACTATCAAATAGCATTTATTATTCCCACGCAGTGATTTAAAAATTGGCGAGTCGCAACGGACTTGCACGAGTCGGCACAGGATTCGGTAACCCCGTGCCGATTATTTTGTAAAACCGGAAATCGCCCGGTTCTAGATGATGTCATACACCGGCCAGAATCAGCCCGTATGACGTCAGAATATCGCCGATTCTCAACAACAAGTGGCGCGACACGTGACAACCTTCATCCCTGTTGGCGACACGTGGCCGCAAACCTTCAACCCGTCCGAGATGCCCTCACGCTTTCACGCGCGCACTTAGAATCATGTGACAAAGCAATTTAGATGCATATATGTAACTCTCATTCTTCAATGTGGGATAATTCCCACAAGCAGTGCATTAAATTAAGACAATTGAATAAGTATTATTAATATGGAAACTTTACACATATGCAGAGACGTGGCTTTATGGTTATCACTCGGCTTTATGGTTATCACTCCTACTTACCTATTAGACGTTTGAGGTTCGAATCCTAACCAGCGCGTGTAATTTTATTTAATTTTTATTGTAAAAAAAATAATCAGGAAATAAAGTTGTTAAAAAAAAATTAATTTTCGTTGTAAAAAAAAATAAGCAGAAAATGAAGTCGTTAAAAAAAAAAAAATTTAAATTTTTGTTGTAAAAAAAATTAAGTAAAAAATAAAGTTGTTAAAAAAAAAAAATATTCCATTTGAAATCTCTCTCTTTCTACTAACAATCTCTTTCACTAAATTTATTCTAGAAATCTAAAAAATTAAAATTTTGAAAAATTAAAGTGTTATTTCGAAAATTGGTACACATTATAATAATTTCTATCTTGATAACCAAATCTTTTATTTTATTTATTAATTTTTGCATTATAAATCATGTAATGTACTATTTTTCTTATAGTTGTCAATAATATATTTTAAATTTGATGATATTATAAAATATTTTGGATTTGTTACTAAAAATAATTCTAAAATGTAAACCAACAATTTTAATTTCAGAATATAATATTATAGTTAGTTAGGTTGTAATAATTTGGGTTTTTTTAGTGGATTAGGGTTTTCTGCCAATTCGAGATTTCAGTGGCCATTTTTTTATCTATTTAATCTAGTCTTTATTGTAGTCCATGAATGATTATATACTTTGTCCATGATAATTCTATGATTTTTCTTTTGTGCGATGTAAACTTAATAGTTAATATAAGTTTATACAGGGAAAGAACATCTCAATATTCACAAATTGATGAAAAAAATGAAAGTTAACAATGTAGTACCCTCATTTCTTATTGGATTCCTAAAAGACAACATTTATAATGAATTTTAATACTTTTTTTGGATTTTTTTAAAGCTTAATCCGACCGAGTCGGTCGATTCCCGATCCGGATCGCCGATTCACTGATCCGGATGGGTTTTTAGAGTGCCCGATCCGAGGCACCGATCCGTTTTTTAGACCATTGTTCCCACCTATCAAAGAAATTAACCAACTAAATTGAAAAGCAATTAAATTCTAAACAAAATGAACAGATAAGCAGATATTTTGCAATTTAAAAGTATTTCTGGAGCCACATATAAGCGATACTTCACATCTTGTGAGTACTTTTGTAATCACTTTTATCATATTAATATATATCGTAGACTTTATCACTATACATATGTATATATATAAGTATTCATAAGATTATGATCCAGTAGTCATCAGATAAATTGAACGTCAATTACCTATTAGCGGGCACCTCAATCTTGTAAATAACTTCTTCATCGCCATCAGCTCCTTCTTCCTCTTTCAAATGCTTTTCTTTCCTAATAATCGCTTTCTCAGTTGTCTACAAACAAGAAATTCAAAGTTTTAAACCAGTAAATATGCATTAATGGCGAGAAACTTCACTGCATCCAAAGCATTTTAAACACAAATTTGCGAAATTTACTTACTACATCATCGAGTTCAATTCCAAAGTCGAAGCAAAGCTCCTCAAATTCCTCCTGAGCTGCGAGTCAGAGGAAATCATGACAAAGAAAACATCAAACCCTAGAATAGGACAACAAGCAGCTCTAAACTCAAGATAATGAAATGAAAGGAAGCTAGATAGAGATGTAAAGGAAGAGGGAAAACTTACTGTAAGTTCTTCCTAGTTCTTCAAAGAGGCAATCCCTGCCAATGCTAACTGTAGGCATGGCGGGGAGGGGAGATAGAGAGAGGTGGAAAGCAAGAGAGAGGCGATTAAAAAAGGAGAAGGGAGAAGTTGCACATGCGACACCAAGAGTTCATAGGTGTGAAGGAGAAGGTAGCCTGAAAGTTGGGAACCTGTTTGATAAACCGTGGTGCTACTACTTTCTCCTGTTTGGTAATGTTGATGCTGGGAAAGCACAAAGCTGCATGTTTTAAACATTCATTATGTATTTCCATGATTTGATGCCTGTAATGTATATTTTCTAATATGATTTTCTTGCAACTACCTATCTAATGCATTTCTTACCATTTATGGTAAAGATTGGAATTTAATCTCACATCTATGTAACTTAAGAAAATTAATCTTCAGAGAAGTATCACAAATAATTTTACTACAAGAACAACGTCAACAACTTGTATAGCTAGATATACTAATCCCAAAACTCTGAATGCTTGGTATACAAGCATAATACAACATTGTGTGCAGCGCATAATATGTACCAATAAAGAACAAATTTCATAACCAGAAATTGAGAAATCAACGGGCCACAACATCCAAAGCAGAAAATAAACTAAACAAATACACCAGCAAAAAAAATAAAAAACAGAAGATAACCCATAAGACCCCAAATCTCTCCTCAAAGTCTTCAATCAACCAAAACCTCAAAACAGAAAGAGAGAGAGCCATTAACCCAAAACCCCTCAACATAAGAAAAAAAATACTAGAAAAGTTTAACACATTACCCTTATGATTAAAACCCTAAATCACATAACCAAAAGCAAGCCTTTCAATACCAATGCTACAGACTCTTGGAGCCAAAAACCCTAGATTGAGCCCAAATTTAGAGCCCTTTCGATCAAAACTCTAAAATACAGAAGCGAATTCAAGTCTCTCGAGACTCGTACAGAAAAACCTTATGACCCAAAACCCTATAAAAAACCTACGTCTTACACATGAGAGAGAATCCCACAAAGAAAGTTCACCATGAAACAATAGGATCCCAAAAACAAGGGATCTCGACGAAAATTTCAGAAATTCACGAAGAACAAGGAGAAGAAACATAGATACCATGAAAAGGAAGGAAGTTACTTTGTAGAGAGAGAGAGCTATACAGTTAAGGAAACGAGAGAATATACCTTTTTAGAAAGAGAAAGGAACAAACATCCTGCTGCAAAGTACCCGGCCCAAGGGGAACAGAAACTGATATAGCAGATGAGAGAGAGAGAGTACCCTTGTAGAGGGCGGTGGCGCTTTTGATGGCGCGAGAGACAGAAGAAAGCCAGAGTTTTATCGGGGTTCCTTGCCCGTTAACTTTCTGGGAAGGAAAATTGTGTCATTCGGGCTGGGCCGTATTGCTACAATATGCAGTCCAAAGGTATAAAGCGTCCATTTTAAAGATGGATCAAATAGGTATTCCATAGTCAATTTATTAAGCCAAGATTCTTGATGTTATCTACCTTAAATAAGCCATCTTGAAACAAAAGTTCAAATATTTCAAACAAATGAGAATTAAATTTTCAAGAAATGTTAAAAAATGAGAACATTAGATCGATCAAGGAAGAAGTTTTTCGAAAAAGTTTTCTCTAAAAAACAGAATTTTTTATTTATTATTATTTCTTTAAAACTAAAAATTTTTAACAAGATTTTAGAAAATCAAAAAAATTTATAGAAAAATGCCAACTTGCATTTTTATGCGACTTACAAGCTCCACATTAAGACGTCGACCGTAGTGGCCCGTATATCAAACACCGAGGTACTATTAATGTCAACCATTTGTTATGCAAACTGAACGGTCCATCCACATGTTGCCTTATATTAAACACGAACTTTCTATGCAGAGGTTTTGTATTGTCGACCTTTCTTTCCCTTGCAGCATAAAATATCTATACTTCCCCTACCATCCAGTCGTCCAATTTTGATCAAGTGAGTCACACTATTTGATCCTAGATCCAACACTTTAGAGTATTTTATTTTTAATTTTTTTAATACAAATTGTATGAATATAAAATTTGGTACATGCCATCGTCTTATTGCGGAGCACTATAAAAAATAATAAAAATAATTTTTTGATAAAATATAAATGATCAAAATACCCCTTGAATCTTTCAGGGGTATTTTGATCATTTTATTTTATTGAAAATATTTTTTTATATTTTTACAAATACGAGTTTAATAGAGGATTGGAAGCCTAAAATTTAGTGTCAAAATATTTTAGATAAAAAATTAAAAATAAAATAGTGTAGCGACGTGATATTGTGATTGGGGCAATCTTAACCCTCCATTTAGAATGGACGATTGGATAAGGGGAAACATATAAGTTTTATGTTGTAAGGGAAGCATAGAAAGCTTACCCATATTTATGATCCGGCAAATCCGTAGTCCTTGTATTTCAACATGACAATCGAGAGAGAATTGGAAGAATTATTTTTATAAGAGCCAAGCTTACCTATTGCATCACTTAGAGAGAGAGAGACTATGTTTGACTATTATTGTGCGAGGAAATTATATAACGAGACCACCATTTACCTTTTGTACAAAGTGATCACAATTGATCTTAACCATTGGATATAAAATTGGTTGGCTAGATTTATTTCATTAATCAAGCTAAGTTCAAAAAAAAATTATCTCAAACTTTATAATACACCCAAGTTATCAGATTTCACATTAGACGATTATAAGTAATTGTAATCTTTTTGTACAAAAGGTAAATGGTCTCATTGTATACAATCCCTATTTTGTGATCATCTCTTCGTTGTCATGTTTTCAATCGTTATGGAATCAGTCATATTTTCAATTGTTATGGAATCGGTCTTCTTTGAAGGATTTTGTTGTTGGGAAGAGGAAAAAGGAATAAAGTAAGAGAGTTGAAACGAGAATGAATTAAAAAGATGATGAGTATGGAAAGAGTAATAAACAATAGAGGTATATACAGAGGAGGTTGAGGTTGGAGAGGGATGCAATTCCACTTTGGCTTTTTTGCTATAACCAATCCCTAAACCCTAATCTCTGAATCCTAAACCCTAATGCATGAGGACTAGAATTTGAGCGATGTCAAATCCATTGGTTTGAAAATATGGACGGTTAAAAAAAAACAAAAAAATCTATATTTTTTGTAATGACCAAACATATCCTCCTAAATAATCATCTTCCTAAAAAAATAGCCATGCCTTTTCTTATGATTATAGAATTTAAGAAACATTGTAAGAATATTTGCCCTTTTGGTTTGTATTTTGTACAGTATAGCAATTTTACCACATAATTTTTTTTTATAAAAAATCACCATATATAGATAATTATCTAGATTTCTCTTTTTTTAGGAATTCCCAATTCCTAAGGACCCTCTTGGACTGTACAGTATTACAATTTTGTCACATAAAGCTTTTAGAAAAACAATCAATTGAGACGAGAAGCGATCTGATGCAACTGTTGTATCATATTATGATGAAACGGTGAGTTGGCCAAATTTTAACCATTGGATTCTTGAGCAATCCAACGGATGAGATTAATGTTGGGTTTGGTGATAGTTAAATCACCATACCCATATTTTCTTCTAAAGATTATGGTATTATGGGAAATAAAAAATTAACTTTCTTGGGAAGCAAGAAAGTGATATCTTTATAAAAGAGTAAAGGATGACATAATACCCATCCTTTGAGGGTCACCCCTTTAATGGTTATGGGAATGGATCTCCAATATGGAGATGGATCTCCAAGAGAGAGAGACATGACCTTGAGAGATGGGCAGTATTCCCATGAGTTTTGGGTTGGTTAACTTCCACTTCTAGAGAGAAAAAATCACTATATTGCTCTCGAGGTTATCTTTCCAGTTGCAATATTGCAGTGGGAAAGAGGATGTTAATCGACAATGTTGCTCGGTCGAGAGAGCGGGTTTAAAAGTGAAGATTGGTGATGGTCTTTTATCGAACGTTTAGATATAGGTATTATCTCTTGTAACTCAAAACTGTAATCTTCATTGTGATAGTAGATTTCTAGTTGCCGAGGCTATGGATGTAGTCCTACGGGGTGAACCACATAAATCGTGTGCTGTTGTGGTGTATTTTTTATGTTTGCTTTATTTCTCGCACTCGATTTATAGTTTTATTCATCTACTTCATATTTAGTCAATCATGTACACGATCTTAGGCGGGTTCTGGTATTTGGGATTCCCGTTTCCTCAAGCTAGGGGTTTACAAGAATCCTGCAATTGGCATTAGAGCAACACAAGGTGTGTACGGGGGGCTAAGGCTTGCACTAAACAAATGATGAATGGTGGAGTTTGATGGATACATGATTTGAGGTGGAGAAATATGGAGGCAAAATGTTTGTGAAAATTCCAAAATGGAAGCAAGTGAGAAGAAATCAAGAAAGGAGAAATATGAGGGCAAAGTGTTGGTAAAAATTCCACATTGGAGGCAAGTATGAAGAAATCAAGAAATCTATTCAATGAAGGTTATCATGACAATTATGGTGATTTTGCTATCAAGGCGAAGATTGGTGAGTTTAGTGATAGTTAAATCACCATACCCATATTTTCTTCCAAAGATTAGGGTATTATGGGAAATAAAAAATTGACTTTCTTGGGAAGCAAGAAAGTGATATCTTTATAAGAGAGTAAAAGAAGACATAATATTCATCCTTTGAGGGTCATCCCTTTGGGGGTTATGGGAAATGGATCTCCAATATGGAGATGAGGCTCCAAGAGAAACATGGCCCCTGAGAGAGGGGCGGTATCCCCAAGAGAGACATAGCCCCTGAGAGAGGGGCGATATTCCCATGAGTTTTGGAGTGATTAAATTCCACTTCTAGAGAGAGAAAATATCTATATTGCTCTTGAAGTTATCTTTCCAGTAGCAGTATTCCGGTGGGAAAGAGGATATTGATCGACAGTGTTACTTGGTCGGGAGAGCAGGTTTCGAAAGAAAGATTGATGATGGTCTTTTACGGATGTTTAGAGATAAGTATTATCTCTTGTAATCCAAAACTGTAATCTTCATTGTGATAGTGGATTTCTAGTTGCTGAGGCCGTAGATGTAGCTCTACAAGATGAACCACGTAAATCGTGTGTTATTGTGGTGTGCTTTTTATGTTTACTTTATTTCTGGTACTCGATTTATAGTTGTATTCATTTACTTCACATTTAGTAAATCATGTACACGATCTTGGGTGGGACTCGATATTTGGGATTCCCTGTTCTGCAAGCTAGGGGTTCACGAGAATCCTACAATTAAGACCTATTTTATATGAATTTAAAAACCCCAAATCTGTGTGCCTCTATCTCCTGCTCTTCTCTCCTAACTGTGGCCTCTCTCTTGTCCTCTCCCACCTCTCTCTCTACCAGCACGCTTTCCTCTCCCTTCACTCCGCTCACACTCCTCTTGTCCCTCTCTCGTCTGTCTTCTTCTTCTCATCATCGCCCCTGATCCTCTCTTTCTCTCTTCTTCCATCCCCAAGCTTTCTTTATCTTAGTTCCTCACTCATTTTCTTCCTCCATCTCTCTCATTGCTCCCAAAAAAAGAGGACTTTAAATCACCAGCAAACTTAGAAACTCCAAATAGCCAAATCAATATGGCTCAAGAACCTCAAACAAATAAAAGCTTTTGGTGTAGAAGGTGCATTTGGCTCCAAATAGCCAAATCAGGGCAACTTGGCAGAAATTTTGGCTTGTGACCATGAGGAAGCAATATTTGGAGTTAAAAAGGCATTGAAAAGTCTTATATCAACTTGCATTGATGAGAGTTTGATCATGCAGGCCACATATCAAATTAAGCCAAATCTTAGTGGAGGCATGAGAAGTAATGTGGATATCCTTGAAATAATGATAGAAACCCGGTCCTTGAAGTAATGTGGATATCCAATGTCCTCATGTCTAAAGGAAAAAGTTTATATAGAGTTGAGGCTCTAAACTATCAAATTAGAGGCCACATAAAAAATTTCACTAGAAGAGGTTGTTTTGATGCCCAAATATCTTCAAATTGATCATCTCAATATCAAGATGCATGGATATGAGAAAAAAATGGATTTCAAGTTTCGGAAATAGTGCATCTTGTAACGCATTTTTGGAACGTCAATTTTCAAGGTTTTATAGATCTGCTGGATCTACGCATTTTTGGACTGTCAATTTTTAAGATTTTAAAGTTTCCATAGATCTGCTCAATCTACACTATTTTTGAAGCTTTAAATTTTATAATTAAAGATGACAATATATTTTAGGGCTATCACAAAGATTTTTCAGTATTGAAACCACATTGCTCGACACTATTTGAAGTTGAGCTCTCTATTTTGATGGTTTAGAGGCACACTTTTCTGAAATGCCTATGTTATAAGCACTTTA